AGGAAGCCAGTAAAAACTTAGGTCTAATGTCATACTAAGTAATTCCTGATGGATCCTTACCATTGCACGGACTAAAAGTAATTTTTAAAAACTTTTACAGTTTTGTACAGTGTTGAAGGGAGCTTTCAGTACCTAGAATTTTTTATTTCCCTAATATTACTGAAGTACCTTGTATGTTCAAATCCATAAATCATGGCATCACCATAGAAGATGCTCATGGTTTGCATATTTGTGAAGGATGCCCTTAAAAACTAGGCAGGCGTATGACACCTGAGATCACTTTTAGGCTACCAGTCCTACAGTTCTCACAACACTTAACTGGAGACCCACCAAAAAAAAAATTTCTGCAGGAACAACTACGGCCTCTGCAGAAACACACACAGTGGAGGGCAAAGCAAGCCCAGACAGACTGCATAAGGACAGCTTCTGTAAGGTTATTTTTAGCCTAGATTTTTTTTTTTTAACAAAAAACCCCTGTGTGTTGCACAAACACACAGTTTTAAAGGAGCTGTTACCACTCAGGAAATACCTTAGAGGTACTCCTGTTCAGTGCTCAGCAACCAGAAAACCAAAACAGAAAGAACATTAAGTTATTCTATAATCTACTACACCCAGTTTTGATGTCTGTACCCCTCATACCAACCCCTCACCCTTAAAAAAAAACCAAAACAAACAACAACAGAATATTCAACAGGATAACATGACAGAAGACGTTAAGTTTTTCAGCTTGGAAGAGAGACATTTGAGGGAAGAGATACAGGCCTATAAAATCACAAAGGATATGCAAAGTGCAAATCGAAATTAGTGTTCACTATTTCTCACAGAAGTCCTGAATGGCTTGCAATAAAAGTCATCAAGAATAACGTTTTAAAGAAAAGAAAGGGTTGTTCTCTTCCTGCAAGACTATTAAATTGTAAAATTCTCTTGCCACAGAACACCTTCAAAACCAAAAGTATAGCAGCATTTAAGAAGTGATTAGATCTGTCATTCAAGAATTTTGTCTACCAATGGCTATGTAACACAGTCCAGATGCAGCCTCTGCTTCATCAAGTTCCTAAATTGCTGATTGCCATGAGAAAGAAGGATACGCTCAAGCCATTCACAGTCTCTGAGCATCTGCTACATGTCATTGTTAGAGAAAAGTGAGCTACGTGGATCTTTGGTCTGACCGCAGTATAGACTTTCAGATGAAGAAACAGATCATCCTTTCTCCCCAGCCCAACCTGCAGAACAGTCACTACCCTCACATCGCAGCATTCCTCCAAACACACTTTGCAGAGTTCACCATTCATTCGTTATTCCATGAGCAAATGCAACACTGAGGAACAAAACCACTTTTCATTAGCTCTAGAAGCAGTCCACAGACATTAAAAATGCATCTTCCTGACAGATAAAGCAATCCTAGAAGCCATAAAATACTGGAGGACGCTATCTAACAATTGGTTTTAATGCTTCAATACATTTGGTCCAAAAATTGATTACATATAGCAAACATTGCTTTCAAATGGATTCAATTACTTAGCAGCTAAACAAATTTGCAGTGACTAAATGTATTATAAGAGATGGTCAGCAAACCAACTGAGCACTGCTTACCATTCTCCAAGACCTCCTATACTTCCAGACCCAGCACACAAAAGCAACAGCCACCTAGAAGAGCCACAGTCCATATTCCTCCCAAACTCAGCACGTTTGCATTCTCTCCCTTTAAGTTCCTACACTGTCCTATGATTGTATTATGCAACCACTAAAACAGAAGTACAAGAAATCATATCAGTCATTTGCTGTCCTTACAGTTTCCTGGAGTAGAAGTTTGTGCATAGTCTGATGAGTTTGCATCAGTTCACGTACACTTGTTACTTCCACACAAGCTTCCCAGTGGCGGGGTTTGTACCTATTAGTAGTAGGCGCAAACAGTGCTCAGCTGTATGGCTGAGCACTCATAGTACTTGTAACATAAATATGCCCACTCTGTTCCAAGGCTAGTGCTAGACACAAGAGCACTCTATAGTTGTAGGGCAATCACTACCTAGCTTTTGCCGGTCCTCCCACTTTGCTTCGATGCTTTGAGTTTTCCTCCGAAAAATCATTATTCACAAATGTGCTGCATCTCCGCACTCCGCTCAATTATCGTTTTGTCTCTTTTTGACCTGTGAAGTGGCCAAAAAGAACAGCGTTCTATGCTAGATATGATGCAGACTGGTATGGCACAGAAGAAAGGAAGGAGAGAAGATAAATTGGAAAATTCTCTCCCATTACATCATTTGGAAGAAGATGCCAAGAATAGGTAGGCAAAAATGAGGCTAGATGACTAATTCCTACACAGTCTATTGCTTTTCAGACAGATACCTAAGTTCAGCAGTAAATTCTTGGTTATGCCAAGATTTCCACTGTTCTTCAATTAATGCTTTTTAAAAAGCATGCCTTGCTTGTTTAAAAAGAGGAACACTCTAAGAATGGGATTTTTTAACACACCAATTTCTTCCATCATTTCTACTGTAACACACTTAAGGTGTAAATAACAGTACTGTACAATATGTTCCAGAAAGCTATTCAAGTACTCCTAGTCAGAATTCGTGCCCTAAGCAATCATTGTTCCATTATCCCTGTGTATAATGTGTTCCTTCAAAAGACTTTGAGATAAAAGCCGAAGACCTTAATATAAAAATTATATATATAACCATTGAAAAGAAACAGGAACTTGCCAAAGACAGCAAAACATGCTTGCCCACTAGATATAAACTGCAAACAAGCTCGCTCTTTGTCTATACTCATGTCCTAGCAGTTTTATGGAATCAACTAAATCCCAAAGAAGCATCATACTACAGTACATATTCAATCTAGTGACTGGTGACACGGCCTTCAGTAATAACTCTTGCATTGACAGACCAAATATCTGACTGAAGTACAACATACATGGATATCTGTAACTAAACTGAGCACAACAGCACCATGCTTGCTTGTTTAAAATAAAACAGTCCCAGACTCCAATCTGCCTGCAAGTAGCTTTGTAAGGAGAACTGCATCTAGTCCTGCAGCCCTGCTCAGTGCTTCCAAGGAAGCTGACAATTGCAGCGGACAGCAGAAGAGCTTTGGGATTTGACCAATATCACGTGCTGAATTAGTCTAGCACCTAACATTTAGAGTCACAGACCTCACCTGTGCATGGAACACAGAATGAAGTTCTGTGTAATAAAAGCCATAAATTTGATTTTGTACTTCCTTTCACTAAGCTCACAACTTCTTGCTGAATTAGAGTATACCCTTAAAGGTATCATCACTTCTTTGATTATGGAAATTAGATCTAAATAATCTCAAATTACTGTCAGTATTGTACGTCAAAATTGATGTACCACATAATCTGCTGCCTTGATCTGACCTGCCCAATCTCCTCCAAAGAGTGCCACAGAGTCTTTAGACAAACCACCCAAAGCTACACTACCCATGCTGCCTCCCCAAATCCTAAAATCCTCTTGCAACCATCTTTAGTCCTGTCACCTATGACTACAAAGATGTGCGGCTGCACTCCCCCGCTTTATAAAAAGGTTTTATAAGACTGAGCAAGACAAATATTTTCCAAAGCAAACAAACCCAGTCCTCCTTTACAGGTATAAAGGAGCCTCTCTCTTACTGTCAGCCTTCTCCCATTTAATTTGTATTTTCAGTCAGCAGTTCCCAAAGCCAGGAAGACTCCACCACTGAACAGACCAAAGTAATTAATTCCTTTAAGTCACATACAAAACCCCAGTTACTGACTGGAATTAAGCTTACTTTCCCATTCACCACTGTGACAACAGACTGTTACTGAGACCTACTATATGAATGGATCTCTTCCCACAGTACTGCTGCGTAATCAACTATACTCAGTAACTTCTGTAGAATATCCTCCATATGTTTTACCTTGCAACAGAGATTAAATGAAGTCCATCATATTCCTTCTAAAGAGAAGAAATAGATTAAAATTTATATTTTGCTGTTTCCTCCGATTTTCTTCCCCTCAATCTTTGGTGTTTTTTTAAGTAATGACATAAGTATTGCAATAAAGCTAATGCAAGAACTTGCCCTGTGAGTTTTGTAGCTTTCTCTGCAGGAATTTTATGTAGTAAGTCTTTAAGCAAATAGACATTAACTGAAATTCTGAAAATTGTGTCTTGTTATCTTGATAACATATAAAACAAATCTCATGTTCATAATCTTAACTGCAGTTCCTAAAAAAATCAAGCTTTTCTTTCCACATTTGATAAAAATCACAATGTTGAGCAGACTATGTTATTCAAGTTAGTAGATGTGAGAAGAACCAGAATTGATAAATGAGTTCAAGGAACTGATCTGAGTGTAAAAAATAAAAATAGAAGTTCCCATTTAGAAAAAAAAAAAAAAAAAGTAATACTAAGTACACTGAGAAAACCCATAAAAGTTAAAGACATCCTGACTGAAAAGCTCTTTATATGTTCTAGATACATTTAAAATGATTGAAGTGTTCAATTTTATTTGAAATTGCTTTGGCTCCAGCACACACACTGAAGATATACAACCACTGTGAACAACGGTGTCCTGTAACTTGTATTTGAAAGCTCCAAAGGACTAATAAGATGTTTCCCCGTTCCCATATAGAATTAAAGATTAACCATCTTCCTAACCACTAAGATGACAGATAGAGCAGCCCAAAAAGCAAACTCTTTACCTAATGAAATTAGTTTTCTTGAGAGCGACCAAGACAAACTTCCATATTTAGATTTTGAATGTTGCAATTTAACAGACAAGGAGACTTTACCCAACCTCCCCAGGTTAGTTTTCCAGATGCAAGTTCAGCAAAGCTTGCATTATATACCATGAAAAAGTTAGTCTTACGTGACTACCACTATACCTACCTGCTAGTTTAAAAGAAGTTAGCTGTTAAGAACAACCAGTATCTTTCATCTCGAATGCAGCACATTAACAATTACAACTGCACAAAACACATATCTGGTAAAGTTTCAATATGAGAAGTGACAGACACTTACCAATACACACATCTATCTTCCCCTTGATAGCAGCTTCATGCAAAGGAGTGTAGTTCCAATTGTCTCTAGCATTTGGGTCTGCCCCTTGACACAGTAACAGACTAACCACTTCAGCATGACCAAAGGAACAGGCGTTGTGAAGCGGTATCAGCCCTCCATCATCACGAGCATGAACATTGGCTCCTGTCTGTAGCAAGTGCTCTACAACATCCTTCCTTCCAAAACCTGTAAGAGAACATATTTCTGTTCATTTGTCTGGTAAAACAACATGATTTAATATTTTAAACTGTTCACTCTCAGTCCATGCACAAATGATATCATTCATGTCCCTGTTCCACTTTTTGGTTCATTTCACTATAAAGTGAGACTATATTCACCTGCTCAAACAACAGCTGGAAGATTCACTTACATTCATGACAGAGGTGAATAGTGGTGTATTATAATCAGCCTGGCTGTCTGCTACTCTATCTCATGAAGAAGTTCTAAAATAGGCTTACCATTCTTTTTCAAGAAATGCTTTTTATTAGTTTTAAAAATTTAGTATACTCTGTATGTACCTAATGCAAGCACCTTACATACTATCTCCTGATATAGGTCTTCATCTTGGAGAAGACCTCATATTAATAAACACTGAAGGACACTGTCAGTGCTCAAGCAGAACAACCTTATCTCAACCCAAACTACATTCTCACTCTCTTACAAAGGGTCCAGCTGACAAACTGACAGAGAGACTAAGTTACAGATAAGTAGAACTGAGACCTCAGCTGGGAAATAATGCCTCAGGAAGGTCTCAGCCTAGGAAAACAGCCTCTGTTATGGCCAGGGAAAACATCACCATATAGCCAGCCTCATTAAACTAATACACTTCAAAATCCTACATCAGCATGCCAGGCCCTGACACCGTTATCTTGTTGTCCACAATGAACCTGGAAAGGTTCTAGTGCCCAAATGTGCTTCTTATTGCTTCAAATGCCTTAGAGCAGCCGTCTCCAAACTTTGATTGTGCACCCCTACCAGTAAAAAGATTTTTGAGCATGCACCCCAATATATGTATATTTATAAATCATACACATGCACTACCATACTATTCGGCACTGGTGAGGCCGCACCTCAAGTACTGTGTTCAGTTTTGGGCCCCTCACTACAACAGGGACACTCAGGTGCTGGAATGCGTCCAAAGAAAGGCAAGGAAGTTGGTGAAGGGCCTAGAGCACAAGTCTTATGAGGAGCAGCTGAGGGAACTGGGGTTGTTTAGCCTGGAGAAGAGAAGACTGAGGGGGAGACCTTATTGCTCTCTACAACTACCTGAAAGGAGGTTGTAGCAAGGTGGGGGTTGGTCTCTTCTCCCAAGTAAGAAGTGATAGGACAAGAGGAAACGGCCTCAAGTTGTGCCAGGAGAAGTTTAGGTTGGATATTAGGAAAAACTTCTTCACTGAAAGGGCAGTCAGGCACTGGAACAGGCTGCCCAGGGAAGTGGTTGAGTCTCCATCCCTGGAGGTATTTAAAGGACGGGTAGACGTGGTGCTTGAAGACATGGTTTAGTGGTGGACTTGGCAGTGCTAGGCTAATGGTTGGACTCGGTGATCTTGAGGGTCTTTTCCAACCTTAACGATTCTATGATTCCATTATGTAGATTATAAACGTACACAAAAATAGAAGTTTAAAAAGGCCAAGATAAAGATGAAATAAACACTGTTTTAAAATTTCTATTATATTTATTAATGATGCAAAATATATTTTCTTCCTGCACCCCAGTGAAATATCTGGCACACTCCACTTTGCAGACCACTGCCTTAGAGGACAGGAACAAAAATCAGGTATCAGGCTCAAGAGGGACAGTTTGAACTAGAATACAAGTGTTCATTTTTGTAGTAGGTTGCATCTCAAAGGTTGGATTGCATTTCTTATAAACCTCAGGGCTAAAAGCAATATCACTGGATATTTTAAAAGACTGTCACTTTAAGAGTTACTGTGTCTTCTGGCAATCATGGATACCAACCAGCTTAAGTATGAAGAATCCCATGTATATGAACTATGTTTATGAAACAGCTGAATTAAATGCTGCAGCAAGTGAAATTCCGCAGTGGTGCTAACTGGCAGCTTATAGATTGTATTAACTGCACAGATCATGGATCAAAAACACAAGACATTATTTCCCTTCTAGAAGGCAAATATAAAGCTCAAGGGAAGCAACAAAGCAGCTGTCAGTTCTCCCGCAGGTGACCACGTAACTCAGCTGCAGCAAAATGCTGCTCAGTGACAGAAATGACTCTCCAAAGTGAGCACCCTCTGTGGCAGGCAACAACTCATGCATGAAGACTTCTCAAATCAGAACGTTTTACCCCAGAGTTGCAGTCCCTGGATAGGACCTCCATTTCAATGAGTTAAGTCCCTTTGTTTCCCAGAGTAGTGCACTAGTTACAGCTATGCAGACTTTTGGTGCAGAATTAACATGCTGTTCCCCCACAGTCCATACGGAGAGATCTCTAAGCCAGATCTAGCAGCTTTGCATCCACACTAGCTTATCCAGTTAAGGCTAATGTTATAACTTGACATCCAGCTTTCAGTCAAGCTGCAGGCTAGCCATTCTGCAGGAATTTACAGTCTCCTCAGTGAAGCACAAAGTCCTTAAACACCCTTTCTTGAAGGACAGAAGTTTTCTAGAAGCTGACTAATAGTACGGTTAAGGCAGGCAGGATCAAAACAAAAAGCCCCTTTACTGAGGCTTATCATGGTTTGAGAGTTTTGATGACAGTTTAACAATATCTTTATTTCTGCCTAAAGAAATATTTTTATATGAGATACAAGCAAGCAGGTGGAAGAACAGTCTGAGGAAGTCATCAATGATGCACACACAGATGCTCACATCTAGTAGACTGTAGCAGTTCACACCTTGGTGTTACCTGTATGGTAACGTAGCTCAAGGGCTCCAGTTAACAAGTATAGCCTGGTTACTTTTGGATAGCTGTAGGGATTCTCCCATCCCCACCGTACAGAGCTCTCAGCTGCTTGCAGCACTGATGCTGAACCACTACAAATTACAAGTTAGCATACTGAGCAGATACCAAAGTGGGTTTTCTTTAATACATGGGGCTAAACAGCAGTTCAGCAGCTGCTCCTCAAGCTGCTGAGCCATATCAGCTGCAGGGAGGGGCCCACAACCAGACTGCCACCCCACTCAGCAATCCAATTTTAGTCCATCACTGCAGACGAGTCAAAGCTTTCTGGTACATTATATACTGAAATTACACTACAGAAATGGAAGCATGCGAATCAAAACTGGTATTATTAAAAGTGATACTTATTTATCACAACAAAACTGGTACCAGAAGACATGTTTTTCTTAACTAAACTGTCAGCAAGGCCACTGCTACTGTAAATCACTGCAGCTTCTAGCATGAAAACTGATTTTTTGTTTGTTTGTTTCTGTTATAAAACAGTCAAGGAACATCACCTGTAAGTCTTCAAACAGAAAATGACAGCTTAAATGGGTACAACAGCAAACAAAGGGTATCTGGTCCCACAGCAAAGCTAACAGGCCCAGGGCACAAATAACAAGAAGCAAGCCCTCAAGGTTTATATTGTTCATTTGACTGGTGAAGGAAAATTGAGCAAGTCAAGAATCAGAAAAGCATGCTTTTAACTAAACAGTAAATCAACAGATTTTATTAGTCTTTAGTTTTTATAGACTGTACTACTAAAAAAAGTGCTGAAACTGCACGAGCATTTGCTTTACACGTACTTCTCGTCTCCCGACGAAAAACAACCTGACAGTGCCTGAAAACCCAGATTCCTTTTCAAATTGTTCAGTGCTGTGACTTTCAGGACTACACACATACTTCTTCAAGGTACTGCTGGACATGGGGTCATTGATAAAGGTATCTTTGGAAATGCCAGCAACAAACACTTCACAGTTCTTGGTGAATTCTGTTCAGTTCTCAAAAAGCACAGTAAAGGTTACTGTGATTTTATCCCACCAGACCACTCATCTTTGACAGAAAAAGTAACCAATTACAGGAACAGCTTCGTCCCCCTCCACTGCCACCAAAGGCAAGCCTGTAAAAACTTGAATTGACAAAGTGCCTGAAAGTCTTTAAAATGATCACATGACACAATCTGACAAAGCAGCTGTAATTACTGAAACCCCTGCAGTGTTGTTTTTGTAAAAAAAAAAAAAAAAAAAAAAAAAAAAAACAAACACATGCCAAGCCATTTGTGACAGATGAAGCGCATATAATTCCATTTAAACTGAAGAAACTGATGTGATGTCATTTAAGGTGACTTTAAGAATCCTACTCTTGTATATTTCCAGTGTAACTTTAATTTACAAAGTCTAAGGAAGAGCTGCCAAGAAAGGCCCTGTAATCAAAGATCCCAAAAGACAATCAAATAGAAGGTTCCTACAGAAAACATCCAAAACCAGGGCAGACTCATTTAAAGGCCCATCATGCAAGCTTGTTTTGATGAGATTCACCTGCCAGCTTTCAAAGCACACTCATGGGCAGGGTACCTTATTAGCTTGGGCTATTTCACACAGGTAAAACGCACAAGCTTTGCACTCATTTTAGCTTCTTTACACAATTTAGAAGTTTCAGGCAAGTCGCAGTACCTCAGAAAACACATCGTCCAGGAGAGAAAGGAAGCGGTCATCCCATTATAAAAAGGCAGTAGCAAGAGTACATCTTAAATTTAAGAGTGAAACACTCATCAGTCAAACCAAAAGGCAAAAATTCAGAGTGACTGACAGGCTCTTCATTTCTCCAGTCATCTCATAGAAACAACTGAAGACTAAGGCTTGGTGAAAGCCAGGAGATGGAAGTAGCTATGATAGCCTTACATAAATCAAGAGACAGGCAGACAATGCAGAGAAAACACCACTTAACTAGGTCTTTGCCAATGCTGTATTCTTGCCTTTTTCCAGTTTACACCTGTCACTTCCAGCTGAAAGTGAGAAAAAAAGGCTTTAGGTAGTAAACTGGCAGCTTAAAAATTAAGCTAAATAAAACTTTTAAATGCCGTCAGACAAGTCCATACACAGAGACACCACCAAATGCTTACTACTGCTGCCCAGAAGACCTGTCCTACTCCCCCTTCACATCCTGCTCCCAGCCCGCAAGCTTGTCCTGTCCCACCTCTTCTTGTGGCATTGAACCTAAGTAACTAGAGGCAAGAGGGTGAGCAGGTTGAATGACTGATGAAGGAAGCGATGCAAGGAAAGCAACAGA